CATTAAGCTTATGATGATTTTATAAATTTATCAAAGCAAATTGCAATACAATCAAAAATTCTTAAATGACTTACACTTGGTTTCATACCATACCAAGTCTCAAAAGGAGTTTGATTCATAACAGCCTTTGTTGGTAAAATATTCAACAAATAAACTGCTATTGTAACTGCTTCTGTCCAAAATTGATTTAGAAGGTGTTTTCCTTTAAGCAAACTCCTTTAAGCAAAATTGATTTTAACGGCAATTCGATTCTTATGTTCAGCTATACCATTTTGCTACGGTGTATATGATGTTATCAATTCTCTACGAATATCATTTTCTTTACAAAAAGAATTAAACTCATTAGATAAAAATTCACCATCTCTATCTGTCTAAAGTATCTTTATACATCTACCACTTTGTCTTTCTACAAGTGCCTTGAATTTTCAAAAATTATCAAATGTTTCAAATTTCAGTTTCAGAAAGTATACCTATGCGGCTATAATCATTAGTAAATAATAGACAATATTGACTTCCACCAAATAATTTTATATTCATAGGTCCACATAAGTCAACATAAATTAATTTAAGATAATTAGATGCTCTCCATGTTTTTTTATGTTTTTTACTTGGTTTGCCATAAATGTATCCTTCACATACATCAAGTGAATTAATTTTGGGTAATCCGAAAACCAATTTTTTTTTATTTAACAACCTTAAATCCTTAATGTTAAGGTATCAATATCTTAAAAGTCATAAATTAGACTTATTCTTTTAAGTTGTGACAAGAGCATGCTTTTCAATATTTGAAATATTAAGTGGAAACATCTTATTTATGTCATGCAAATATTTACCATAATCAAACTAGATTTTTTATCTTTAATAGTGCATGAATCATCATCAAATATAACTGAATATCCATCATCTATCAATTGGCCAACACTGATAAAAAAGGAACAAATAAAATATTATCAAGGTATTTTACCTTCCTTTGATTTGTCTTTACCTCAATTATTTCTTTCCCTTCCACTGGGATTTGCTTGTTGTCTCCAAGTCTAACTTTCAACTTATGAGTTTCATTAATATATTTAAATATTGTTCTTATGCCTAATATATAATTAAAATATTTACTATTCAAAAATCAAATATCATTTAAGATATCATTAACTTATGAATGAGTCATAAATAACTTACTATTTTTTTCATTTTCTTCCATATAGCTTGCTTATTTTTCATTTTTCTAGCAATCTGCCTTCGTATAACCAAACTTTTTACAATAGTGATATTGAATTTCACTCTTGTAATTTTTTTTATCATAATTTGATTGTTTTTGTTCATCATGCCCATCAAAGTGTCCTCTTCCTCTTCCTCTTTCATTTTTTCAACCATGAAGTCCTCCTTTGTCACGTCCTTTTCTTGTTGATTTATTATCTTCTTTTGAAGTAGAAGACTCTCTCTTAATCTGAAATATTTTTTCTTCATTTTTTTCAAGTGACTTATTCAAGCTTGCTTCATGTGCTTGCAAGAAACTCATTAGTTCATCAAATGAAAATATAGATAAATCTTTTGACTCCTTAATTACGGTAATAACATGATTAAATTTCGGAGTTAGACTTCTCAAAACTTTTACAATAATTATGTGATGAAGAAGATGTTTACCATAAGATTTCATTTGACTAATAATTTCAATCACACGAGAAAGAAAATCTTGCACCGATTCATTATTTTTCAGGAACAAAATTTTAAACTCACAACAAAGGGTTTGAAGTTTTACCGTAATCACCCTTGATGAGCCTTGAATTCATTTTAAAGTATCAACCAAGCTTATTTTGAGGTTGTCACTATTGTAATTCTTGAGAAGATTATCTCATGTACAACTTATTGAATGAAGAACAATGCCTTTGAATCATTTTTTCTATTCTCCCTTAGCCTGATTTCTTTATCTAGACCTGTATATCCATTCTCAATTAAGTCATAAAGATCTTGAGACTTGAATAGAGTCTTCATCTTGATACTTCAAAATTCATAGTATTTGCCCGAGGAGATGGGAATAAGGGGTTATGACATGGAATTACCATTGAAAGCCATAATGCCCAATTCAGATTGAAACTTAGCTTTGATACTACAAATATTAAGGATGGAGGAGCAAGGAAATGTTAAAAACAAAATATTACGATGCAATTAAAAAGAATCCTTTTGATCAAAAAAACTAATGTAGTATTTAAACTAGAGGATAGACATAGAACACTTACAAGATATTCCCAAGTGTATGCTCCTTACTTTGCTTTATGAACTATGGTCCTATTTATATGACCTATTGATAACTACCTTACTCCACCATATCACCCATATTTGAGTTAGGTGTAGGAACTATCCTATAACTTTTAGATCATGGGTCACTTCTTAGAACATGCCTATAACTACCTAGAATATGATAACTACCTAGATAACTACTATGAATCAATTCTCAACAGAGGCAGGGGTGGCGGTCGATGATGCGACGAAGGTCACGGCCCTGGATGCTGACCTCGCGGAGGAGGAAGGCAACGGCGGCAGCAAGGTCGATGGGGGTGGCGGTGAGGATCTTGGGGCACATGCCACAGGCGCGGTAGATCTCGGGGGTTGTGAGGCCGAGGGTACAGAGGAAGCCAACAGCGACGCGAAGGTCGGCGAGGGGTGCGATGGTGAGGAACGGGTGGGTGGCATCGACGGTGAAAAGGTCGACCCCGAGGGAGTCGAGGAAGAGGAGCTTATCTTGGAACGAGGAGGGGGGATCAGGGGGCACAACAGGAAGAGGCAGGGTTAACCTAGTGGGCCTCTTGGGAACAAGGATGGGGGTGTTCAGGGAAAGGTGGATGGGTGTGAGGGCGAAGCGAGGGGCATTTTGGGAGAGGATGGTGGAGATTTGAGGAACTTGGCGTGGGATGTGGTGGGAGCAAAATGGGAATATTTCTTTTATTCTCCGAGTTTGCTTCCCACATGGCTCTATCATCAGAGCGCGAAGGAGGAGGCCTATTTAGGAAACTAAATTTTGGTTCGCGGACGCTAACGTGAGAGGCAAATAGATGGAGAGAGCACCACATTTGTGAATAGCAATGTGTGGTGAGCATTGCACCGCCTCATCGAGAATGATGATGTGGCAAAAAATAGCGCCGACATGACAGAAACATCGAGACTCCTTCGACTCGACCCAATCATGCAAAATTCGATCCCGTTCTGAACCCATTCCTTCGATTGGTAATAAAAAACAACAAAATTAATTAATATAAAATCTATCTTTGTGTAATTATTTACTTATTTTTTTATCTAAAATTATTATTTTCTTGCTTTACTCACACTTAAATTTATTTATTTTTTTGGTTGTAGGAATCCATCGACATAAAAGATTAATATTATTTATTATATCTCTATCGATTGAAATAATTTGAGATGTTTCTTTCTCTTTTCGGTAACTCTCACTTCACTTGAAACATTATAATATCATTCTTGATTGGTATACCATTTGAAATGTTATTATTATAAAATATTATACTATAATTTGAGTTTTATATCTTTTGTTATGCATAATAGATGATAATGGGAGATAAAAGATGAGGTCGAATAAAAAAACATAAAAAATTTCACTCACACTAGTGCCTTTTGAGTTTCACCCCAAAACAAATAACTTCAGATAAAAAAATTTTACGATGACACCAATTATATTTATGACTTAGTCGATTTTATCTAAATCATATAGTATTCTTATGTATCAATCTAAAAAAGATTAATTTTTTCGAAACTTGTTATGATACCCTAAAGATCTTAGGAAAAAAAAGGGGACGAATGAAAGAAAGCATTTAATTCAGAATATCATAAGTAGATATTGTAATAATACTTGATTTATAATATAAATTATAAATATAAACTTCAGCTCTAAACGATTATAAGATAAAAGATCTAAGATGATCTATCGTGATAAAAAATCTCTATAAATCCCCATATAATATTATTATAGAACAATGTCACGAACCATCCTAGACAATGCCTAAAAGGTCTATCCAACTATATGTCACTCGGATAGTTGATACTTCGTACCATTGAGTCAGAAATCACTCAAAATTATTTGAATGACATTTTTGTATAGTTTTATCCCTATGTGACGATCACAGGCAACATGTATGTACACGACTAAAATTATTATAAAATTAATCAAAATAGGATTGTCAAACCTATTATAAATCTTTTATATATTATATAAAGAATTAATAAAAAAAAAAAGACATATAGAAACATTAAATATACATAATTATTTGCCATAGTGTGCTCCAAATAAATTTAACTTTCCAGAGAGTTTTGACAAGATCTTTAATTTTATATTAGTTAAAAAATTATTCAAACACGTGATAAGCCTATCGGAACCAATAATATATATATATATATATATATATATATATATATATATATATATATATATATATATATATATATATATATATATATATATATATATATATCAATTTCTTAAAGTTCAATCATAATTATTTTCTATAACACACTTTCAATAAATCAAGAGAAGAAAAGTGATGGTCAAGCATGCATCTCCATGTTCACATTTTAAAAGCGATGGTCAACAACATAGCCAAACCTTATCATCAAATGCTTCAATGCTTCTCGATTTCTCAAAGTTCAGTCATAACTATTTTCTAGAACACAACTTCAATCAATCAAGAGGAAAAAAAAATGTTGGTCAAACAAGAATAGCCATCAGATCTGTCTGTCTTCTTGCTCATATTTTGAAAGGTCAAACGCTGTAGCGAGAAACTTCAACAATAAGATGAGGGCCATCTTCACCTTATCATCAAATACTTTAATATATTTTTAATCTCTTAAAGTTTAGTCATAGCTATTTTTCAAACATAATTTTCAATAAGTCAAGAGAAGAAAAATGATGGTTTATAGCCATCATATTTGAATGTCTTCTTGTTTGTATTTTGCAATGTCAACGTCATAGCAAGACCTTTATATGTTGAGGCAGTAGGGAGACTAATACCATCGCCAGCCTAGGAAGGAAGGAAGGAGAAAGATAGCCAGCCGCCGTCATGACGACCGCTCTCGCCCAACTCCCCTCGTCTGCAAAAAGGTGAATTCTCTCTCTCTCTCTCTCTCTCTCTCTCTCTCTGTGGCATATATTAATTACCATCATCATATCCATATGCTCTTGTAGTTAATCTCCTTCAATCCATTATTGCATGTATATTACCATCACCATATGCTCTCATAGCTTTATTAGATTAAAACCTCCTACAACATTAAATGTATTCTTATATTTATTTTTGGTTTTAAGTTAAATTTAGCTATTGAAAACCTAAGATGAGTAATGGATAAGGTCCTTTTGCCGATCAATATACTATTGCCATTCATTAAGTCTCTATAGCTGACTTAATATCTAATGATTCCTTGTTTGTCTACCTTAAATTGAGGATTCGAATCTTTAATCTAATAAATTTAATTTAGTTTGAGGTTTTCTAATCTTCTATAAATTTTAGACCGAATACTTCCGATCTTAAGAGTGATATATCTAATCTATTTACCTTATATGATGGTTTAAAATATTATCTTACATATAGTCACATCTTATTATTCTTTCTTTCTTTCTTTCTTACATCTAAAAATATTAGTCTAAATAATGACACATATAACTCACTTTATATATGTAAAATATATTAGTCTCGTGGTGATATATCTAATTTATTTTCCTTAAATTAAGGGTTTAGAATCTTATCTTAATATTTTCTTTTACATCTAAAAATATTAAGCCAGTAATAATATATTTATCTCACTTCAAATTTTTTATACTTAACATATTAATCAGTCAAATTATTTTAGATTTAGGATGAGTTCTGAAACCTTATTCTACAAAATAAAACTGTAAAGATTTATAGCTCGAGCGGAAAGTGACAAACCAGTGCTTCTGTTATGGGGTTAGACTTGAAGGGAAGGTTGCAGTGATCACCGGCGGGGCCAGCGGCATCGGAGAGTCCACCGCCAAACTGTTCGTCCGCTACGGCGCCCGAGTCGTCATCGCGGACATCCAAGACGACAAAGGCCGCGCCCTCTGCGACCTTCTCGGCACCGCCGATGCCTGCTACGTGCACTGCGACGTCACCGACGAGTCCGACATGAGGAACGCCGTCGACACCGCCGTCGCCCGTTTCGGGAAGCTCGACATCATGTTCAGTAACGCAGGCACCTTGCGGGAGTTCGGGAAGGGCCTCGCCGACAGCGACAAGGCGGAGTTCGAGCGGGTGATGGCGGTCAACGTGGTGGGGGCGTTCCTGGCGACGAAGCACGCGGCGCGGGTGATGGCGCCGGCTCGCCGGGGGAGCATCGTGATCACGGGGAGCACAGCGTCGGTGCTGGGCGGGGTGGTGCCGCTCTCGTACGTCTGCTCGAAGCACGCGGTGGTGGGGCTGATGAAGAGCGCGGCGGCGGAGCTGGGGGCGCACGGGGTGCGGGTGAACTGCGTGTCACCGCACGGGGTGATGACTCCGCTGATGATGGGCGTGATGGGGATGGATGAGGCGGCGACGGAGGCGTTTGTGGAGAGGTCGGCCAACCTCAAGGGGGTGAAGGCGACGGCGGAGGATGTGGCGGAGGCGGTGGCGTACTTGGGAGGCGACGAGTCGAGGTACGTGAGCGGCGCCAACCTGATGGTGGACGGAGGCTACAGTGTTACCAAGGGATGAGCTTACAGTAGCCACAAAACTATTCCAAAAAAATAATCACCACAAAAGAAAATAAAACATTTCGGAAATAAACATAAAATTAAAAAGCAAGAATGCATGAACTACTATTTATTTCTCATGTCAATTGACTGGTCTTCAAGCTGCATGCTTACGATGAAGAGTATGAGCTCATACATATGTTTAACTAAATTAAAAAAATATTTATAATTTAAGAATTTTTAATAAATAATTTTTATCCTAAACATATTTCATTCTATTTTAAAATAATTTTCTTTTATTTCATTCTTTATCGAAATAATACATAATTATTCACAAATAAAAATACTTTTTCTTTTCCTATATTTATCAATAACTTTACATATCCATCTTAACATACTATTCACCAACAATAATGGTCGGATTTTTTTCTTTTTTTACCGGTCTCTCCTAGTGCTCAATATAATTTACCTTAGGAAGAAATATATATATTATATGTAAGTGAAAAGGAAGGAAGAACAGGAAATATATTCTCAAATTTTCCCTTAGCAGAGGATCCACATCACTGAATTGACATCTAACAAGCAGAGAGGATTCATTTGAATTGAGCAAACCAAAACCAAAGATTCCAGTCCTAGTTCTACACAGCCACAGAGAACAGAAAGTGTGTTGCTAAAGAGCTTACCTATGGCTTGGAGTATTTACAATAGCGTTGATGATAAGCATTCAGCATCTCCCCATACATCATGTCAATGAAATCAGTCATCTGTCAAAAACCAGATTACAAACATCATTCAGTAATGAAGAGGACTAAAATTTAGACATTAGACATTTTAAGTCAGCACCACCATATAACCAAGATCTTAGTTTGTGTTGTCGACACAAGCAGACCGTTCATCACGGATCAAGGTTTCTAAAATTGGTCCAACCAACATATACTGATTAGTATTTATCGGTTTGACCATCTACGTGAGCATGGGAGTTGGAACTCTACCGAAGTGAACAATGACTGATGAAGAAAGATAGCATACTTTATACCTATCCATGAGTTTGGAAGAACTCTACCAAAACGAGCAATGACTGATGAAGGTTGCACACAAGATAAAGTCAGAGACCCCAATGGGTTGAATCGAACTTCAGGTTGCAAAACTAAGGATACTAGAGAGTCAGTGCAGTACAATATAGGAAGTTGTGACACATCTCACAGGGCAGGCTCTGCACGCTAGAGCAAGCAACACCTGAAGACCCACCACAAAACAGCTCAAAAACTTTATACGTGACTCGGAAGAATACTTCGTAGCATCGAGACCCAACTCCAAATAGATAATGGGTCAGTCAAGACCATGTACCCAAATGATGACACGAAACTTTGGTGGAGGATTCTAATGGGACGAAGTCCAACAAGGTCAATACCACATCAACACCAACTGCAAACTCAATTCCCGTCGGAGACCAGTGAGTTCATCACAAGATGGAAGTTGAGGCAACTCAATATATTTCCAAGTGGTTCTCGACGCTGATGTTAGACATCCTATTCATGTTCAAAAAGGATAAACTCCTTTACTCTTTAGTGTCCTTGGTGGCTTAAAAGCCATCGGGCAACAAGAGTTTCACCGACAGAATATCCATGAATTGGCTGATACAATCGCAATGACAGAACAACTCAAATTTTTTGTCTAAGGAAGCATGCTTTGGGGAGCTGACCACCAGACCTTCCAAAGGGAAGGACGTTGCTCGTGAACCGAAACCAAAGAGCTCACAATTTCAAAAGCAAAGTCCCCACATCCAGCAGATGTTTTCTGTACAAAGGCCCACACATGGAGAGGAAGTGCCCTCAGAGAAAGCTCTCAATTTCCTCTCGCCATCCTTCCAACCACCCAAGGTAACCAAAGAAAAGGCAGTCTCCACAAGCTCCGATGACTTAGAATCAAGCAGCGATGGCGAGGCATCATAAGGAGCCTGCATTGGAGCCATGCATCTATTGAATGCATTGCAGCGTCAAGTGGAAGAGATATTTGAGAAAACAACTTAACAAGGGGTAGGACAGGACGATCGAAGGGATTTTACCAGGGGGAGTGGGAGGACCAGAAAAAGAGAAAGGGCTGTAGGAAGAGAGGTAGTCAAAGAAAAGGGACAATCAGAGAAAAAGGGGCAACATGCAGAAGGAAAGTCTAAATCATTTTGAATATATTATTGAATCTGACGAGTTCTATTTCTATCAATCAGTTCATACAGTCCTCCAAGAACCAGCCAAGTCAGTTGATCCACATTGAATGTGGTAAAGATGCAAAGTTGTTATATTAGTGCTTGAAGATCAGCGAAGTTAGCATTGACTGAAAGAAATGAGAGAAGTAACGGAGAGTCTCATCAGTGGCTTCCATGGTTATGGCAGCCACACGCACAATGACAAGGGCACAAAAGCACTCGACATGAAATCGGTTCAGTTAGCTACAGATGCTCAGATTGCTACCAACTCATTATTGGTTATAATTTATCACCAGTTGAAAGAAATGAAATTGTTTGGTATGAATCAGCTTGTTTCTAAGTTGTTAACCAGTCCAAAAATAGCCTTCGCTTATCAGCAGAAAATGGATCAGAGAATACATGACTAGTTGATTTCTATGTCGTGTTGTTGTTTGTTGGTTATGAGCTCAAGCTTCAAATGAACATGTCCAAGTAAATCAAAGAACAGAATTAAAACAAATATTGATTCAGGAGAATTGGGCTGACCTGAAAGTTGATAGCAAAATAGTTGCTGATTGCTCTCTACAAACTCGAGTCCGAACTCGTCCCATAAACCTGCCATATGGAACACTTGAAATGATCATTTGAATTTATAGACCGAAGCTTGAACTATAATCATTCAGAATAGGCCATTCAATCTGAAATGCCAAGTTAAAGCTATGCTACAATCATGAATCTGTCGACATGATACACTAATTATGAATTCATTCAGTATGAGACCTCTCCACTAGAAGCTAAACAAAACTATACAGAATAAAAAGAAAAAGAAAACTGAAGCTCCGCTCAAACTAGATAGACATCATTTCAAACATATCTAATCTAATTGAATCCTGAATGCTCAACTATATCCAGAACCCATTTAAGGTCACATCAGTGGGACCATTTTAGATCCCTATCCAACCTAAACATTTAACCAGTCCAAGTAAACTGAACAACAATAACACAGTATTACATTCCAACAAGCTCAACTATATCTGGAACTAAAATCTGTCAAGAAACAACATTCAAGAATGTACAATGATCTGGGATGCCTTCCATAGACCTATAACAGATTCAACAAGAAAAAAAAGCCTCCACAATCACATAGATTAGCTGAAAACTAATAAATAATTATATAACATGCATTCAATGGGAAACTAAGCATGTAAGTCCACAACCATTAATTAAAACAACCATTCAACTATTCAAGCATTAGATACAAGTTGAGAAAAATAAAAAGAAAAAAAGGTCCAACAAGTACAGATCATATAACATGGCAAGGTATATGCTTTACACATTAGAAGTTCATGGTCAAACACATAAAAACCTACAAGAAGTACAACACTGTGGTACCGCCCATACCAGTCCCCTTATCGGACTGGTATGTAACGCCCATACTGAGCGGTATACTGTGGTACGATGAACCTTGGTCTCATCAGTAACTTCTCCTTGCATCTGTGTACCTTCAGGGTAGCATAGTGGGACTTTGACACTGCATCTGGGGAGACCTAGGATGTAGAAGATCATAACATGAGTGATTCAGCAGATTTGGATTCCTATATATCCACTCATGTGGTACTTCATCATACGATTTATATAAGATCCATCCGACAAAAAGATAGAGCAACATAATATGAAGAGTTGTCTCATATGTTGGCAGACAAGATTCTTACCGGTATTAATATGATGGCAGTGTTCTCTGCACTGTTTGCATTAGTGTCACTTCTTTCCAACTTCATCAAGACACTCGAGAGTGTAGGTGTCAGCTTGACCCCAGATCAATTTTTGCCCAGTCTTCTTCATAACCTTTGGTACCACTTCTAAAGCATAAGAATTTTGGGATGGTGAAATATAGGTCCATAAATTCCTCCCATCATAACCTGCACATACTACTAATAAATGCACATGCACAAGTACATGGCAGTCACTATGTGAGGTATTTCTTCTCAGCATTTGCCACCCATCCTTTTTGAATCCAATTGCTTCTACCTTGAAATCTCCAATTCTGAGAACTGTATACTATTCAAGGCCCTACAAAACAAAAATGTATTCATCATTGACATACTGCTCACTGATCAACTAAAAATAACATGAAATATCTTACTCTGCTTTTGGTTTCGATGTGGTTGGTAGCGTATAATGGCAAATTTCCCCACCATCTCCTAGCTACTTCACATCAATCTTAACCTGGAATCCCTGACATTGATTTCCACAATTTGAATGGATTATAATCTTTGGCTCCATCCAAATGTGGAAACTGATACCGATAGAAATTACCTAAACCACTTTCACCCCCAGCTACAAGTATCTCAAAGACTCAATGACATCGAAGTCATCTACAACACAAGATTTTGATAAATGGTTTCAGATTACAGTCATGTTACAGTTCCACAACAAGGATGGAATCAAAATGAATATGGCCTTGCAAATCTTTGCTGCCCTTTGTATACAAACTGCCAATTTTTCCTTACAAGGAGAAGAAGTAGACAAATTGCAAACTGGTAATGAAGCTAAAACAAGATGAAAGAATGAGACTGAAATGCAAGATGAAGCAAAGGTCTTTTTACCCAGTCATTCCCATCAAACTAAGCAAACCATTGTCCAGATATATGTGATAGAAATATTCTGATTCCCGTAGGAAAAGAAATCCTTACTGCATCAATCAAGAAACCCTGTCTGCCTAAAGACAGCATCACGTACGCGCCGTAGATCCCTTCCTTTGAGCGTCCTACCGGCCCCTTCGAGCACAGAGAAGGTCGTCATAGGCGACTCCCTGCCAAAAGTCCGCGCCACGATCTCGTGAGGCGGCATGATCTCGTGCCCATCCCCATCGTCGGCACCATCTGTGGCCTCCATCTCGAACCTCCTTGCCCTTCGTGGGACCACCGGGACGTTGACAGGGAGCGACTGCGCCAGGTGGTGCGTCCTCCCGGCCGGCACAGAGAGCGAGCACTCCGGCTTCGGCTTCGGGATCGCCGAGATCATCCGCGCAGCGGTGGTGGAGGAGGAGGAAGAGGACGGGGTGCTGGAAGCGGAGGAGGACGCGGAGGAGATCGAGGGCTTCCGCTGGAGGAGAGGGGCGGGGGAGGCAGCGGCGGGGGCAGGGGAGCCGTCCTCCGGCAGGGCCGCAAGGATCCCGAAGCTCCGGTCGAGAGGGCGGCGGAGAGCGGCGCGGTCGGAGGGCGGGAGGAAATGGGTGCGGCTAGGGTTCGCGGTCACGGCGGGCCGGGGGGCCGCGTCGTCGGGGGCGAAGGTCCAGAGGACTTCGGCCTCGTGGAGCTCGACGCCAGTGGTGGGATTGGAGTCGTCGGGAGGCGGCGGGGAGAAGAGGGCGAGGAATCGTTCGGAGCTGGGAGATCGGTGGTGTCGGAAACTCTCCATGGAACAAAGGGTTTGGGAGCGAGGGAAGGCGGCGGAATACGGCGAGATAGGCGAACGAATTGGCGTCGTCCTTCAGGGCCTTGTTAGGCACCGATTGATCGATTACGCCGCCAACACAGCTGCTTGGAGAGCGATCGCAGCCGTGGAAACGTGACCCAATGGGTGCGGTTTCATACTCTTTAATTAATTTGTGAAGGACGAAACCTAATACGTATCCAAATTCATACAGGATTCTTTTTCCTGCGCCTGCACCGCACAACCTCAACAGCAAACGATACTGCCAGATTTGGTGACAACTAGCTGAAACCACGTGGCATGAGCATTTATATCTATTTTAGGGGAAAGAATGCAGCTTCTATCAATAAATAAACATATACATATGCATTTCTCTATATTAATGCTTTTATTATTAATTTATCTAAAGGCAATAGCATGGTGAGAATTTTTTATAAGGCATGGTTAAAAATAATGATATTTAAACCACCATGAGAGACGAGAGGCATCATACACACAAGTTGCATATATTAATTACATTACCAATCTCTCTCCCAACAGACATGTGAAGCCACCTGAGACGAGAAATCAGAGTCCAAACTATTTCCGACGAATTTGTAAAGCAACTAAAAAGGGAGGTTGATTTCCTAGTTTTATAGAACACCAAATCGTTTATGGTGTAAAGCATACATCGTCACCTTAACTATTCTTTCACATCAATGTCAATGCCAATGTTACAAGTGCAAAAGCGTGGGGTCCAAGACAAACCCCCCCCCTCCAGCTCTGAAGTTTCATCTTTAGCCAAATAAGATTACTGCACATAGAATGAGTAAAGATGGAGAGACGTGCAGACGGGCCTGTCTGCTTCACGTTTCTCCACTCCGTGAGAGTGGACCATTATAGTGTCAATTCCGCTGGGCAAGCGGGGAGCGTGGTATGAGAGATGGTTTGGACTCCTTCGATGACTCATAAGGATGGTTTTCTCGGAAGTCCTCGAGTAGAGTTTCCATTGGCATGGCTCGAAGACATTCAATCATCCCCTTGCTTGGTACATCCGGTTCAGATCTTACAGGAGTTTCCCCGGTAGGCTCATAATCCTGCAATGCCAAGCGATGGTGAAACTCATGTTCTTCCTGTAACTTTGATCGATAGAAAAAGATGGGAACTAACCGTGAAATTGTGTTGGAAGGTGTTCTCGGCCTGCTTATTGATTTCGGCAGCCTGGACTGCGTGCTCTTCCTGCAGTTCTCGAATGGCCATGGCATGGGTTTCCACTGCCACCGTCACTTCTTGTGCACACTTCCGGTCGTGCTCCATTGCACCTGATCCAGGTCGATTTTAGGCGATCCAGCAGTAAACAGATGATTGCAAGAGGAAGCAGGAACAGTACCTTCACAGTACTGAATGATGTCTGCGCTGCTCTTTGCAGCAGCATCAGCCGCTGCATCTCGTGCTGAAGCCACATCAACATCGTGTTGTTCATTAACGTCAATGGCAGTCCTGCCATCAATTCCTCGTTTGTGAGACAACGATATATACAAACTTATCAAGTAAAAATGAAAAGTTTACCTTATGTGGACATCCATTTCAGCAGCATGTTTGCTGCTTAGTTCGTTGACAGATGCATGTGTCTTCTTCCACTGCTGTGAAGCTACATCAACGATGCTTACGCTGAAAAGTTGTGTACAAATGGTGAGTATTAGAAATGAAAAATCTACGCGAGATTTAGTGGTTCACAATAAAGAGCAGGCGCTTGGAGCCAACCATTGCTGTAGCTCAAGCTCCATACGACAATGTTTTGCTGCAGAAAAGTTGGATCCATCCGTAAAATCATGTTCTGCTTGTTTGTAGAACTCTTCCCACTTCCTCTTGGCATCACTGTTGACGACATCCAACAATGATGTTAGCTTTTCTGCTTTTTCCTTGTTCTCTAAAGCAGCTTCTTCCAAAGTGGCAAGTCTCACATCCACCTGAACCATAAATCATTCGCAGGTTATGCTTGAAAGAAGACATCAGAATGTATATCAGTGTGACATTAGGACAAACCAACTCTTTTTGGCGACGCATATGACTAGACACTAAATTAGTTATCTCTGATAAAAGCTTGTCCTGTTCAACCTTGGATTGCTCCTGTTTGTAACAATTTCAATTAGACCATTGAAAAATGTATTAAATCTACATAACTATATTTGGTCGTTCCAAAAAAATTAGACCTCATAAGCCTTTTGAAATTCACCAATGCACTTTGCATGAGCTTCATGAACACGGCTTGAGTGGGCGTGAAGCTTTTTTTTCTCTTCTCCAAACTTCTCAAGTAGCTCATGAATGAATTGAGAGAATTCTTTCACACGGATTAAACTAGTATTGAATCTCTGCAATAAATGAGAACCAGCTTAACTACACATTCAATTAGATGAGTAAACATACACTTTGACAGTATGATTGAAAGTTTTGTAGGACAAGTAACCAACAGACCTCACGAAGTTCATGGGTAAAATGTGCAATCTCTCCACGATGTTCTGACAATTTTTTTTCCAAGTCACAAAAAATTTGATCTGCTTCACCCTCACCAAGAGCTAGCAACTGATCTCACAAGTAAACAACCCATGTGGATGGTAAACTAAGTGAAGCATAAAAGAAGCTGAAGGTGTGATATAAAACTAATGCGATCTATCTACTCACTTGATCAAAAGAGCAGCAGTTTGCAGAAATCATAGATGACATCTCTTCTAGGCCAGCAGTGCTACCTGCTTTATGCAGACGCACAACATTCTGCACAGCTTCTATATGCGATAAAAACAATGATTTTGAAGCAAGTACTTTCTTCCTCAGTTCTAATGCTGCCTAAATCACGAACATTCAATTAGAGCATAATTTGGTAAAAATCCATATTAACTAACAAGTCAAAAACCATGTGATTAAACATGCCTCCCAAGATAGCTACCTTATCATGAAAATCAAGGCAAGATTGACATAGCTTCTCAACAGTCTGAAGATACTCATTTTGTTGTTTTGTGGATAAAGTAATGGTATTGCAAAGTACTCCAATTTTTCCTGCCAGCTCAGCTTGAAAATTGTTCACAACAGACCTATTGGTAGCATTCAGTTTGTCTTCTCTAGCTGCAATAATATATTTCAGCAGAAAAAATACTGTCATATAGCAACCTTACCACCACAGATCAAAAATAACAAATATCATTAAACTTACCTATTTTAGAATACAGTGAGGCATTATCCTGAACAGATTTTTCCAAATCAGATCTAAGGACAGAAGCTTGATGTGCCAGTGCATTTTCTGTTTTAGATGTGTTGGATATTAGCATATTGTGATAGTTTTCACAGAAAAGGAGATTCAAAGTCATTAAGGACCTGCTTTCCTCTGCTGTAATATAATATAATCTTTCTCCGTAAGAGCATATTTTGTTTGCTTGAGTTCTTCAGTTGCACTAGCTAGTAATTTGCTTGTGTGCTCCAATTGTTTCTGCATATAGTAACAGTGAATGGATAAAGGCAATTCAATGAAAAGCACAAAAAGATTTGTTGTGCACCTCTGTGGCAAGGAGCTTCTGATTCGATTCAACAGAGTGCTCAAGCTCAGCATCATACTTTCCTTGCAGATCATCAAGTCGCTGCCAATAAGAATGGCATGTTATGAAGTAGATACTAAATCAGAAAGTATGCAAGCCTTATGTAAATTACTAAGTTCAGTAGAACCATCAATCTTCCTCACCTTTTGACCAGTTTCTATCACAACACTCATCTGTTCGATTTGTTCTGCCATTGCCTTCATGAAACAAAAGGAATAGGAACCCAGTAAATATTTGTTGCATAATGTCAACAGAAATTTTGAACAGTATGAAAGTGTCGGCCTCACAAACTATGGATAAATTGAGAGTACAATCATAAACATAGTGAATTCCAAAATTTCAAATTGTAGCCTACCCATGCCCAAATATGTTGTCTAAATGGAACTGCAAAATGCAAAATATTGATTATAGTTCTTTCACTTAAAGAGGTAGATTATCAAAAATGAACAAAGGTATAAAAGAGACAAGATGCTCTATAAATACAAGTCAAAATTTGCATGCATCACAGAAAATGTAACAAAACTTGTACCTTTCTTTCACTCTCCTCCTGGTAGTATCTTTCTTTTGGTATATAAACTCCAACTTTTTCACGAGCAGCATATACCTCTAAAACAAGAACTTCATTAGTTTAGCTATCCGAAAAATAAGACATTGAGTTGTTCAAAAATTTATGGGTATTTTTACCAGCTTTAAGTCGATCAATTTCCCCATAGAGGTCTTTTATCAGAGTTGATTTCATCAATTTTTGGTTTACCTGCAATTAATTAAAACAAACTCAGCTTCATAAGAATCTGAGTAGGTTTAAGACATTATACTCTAATGCCTCAACAATAATCTCAACAATAAAAAAAAATTCACAAACCATATCAGAATTTATATACTGTCAAAGTATACATATTTGACATAGTCTTTATGCTTTTAAATTGATTTAGGTGTTAGGAATTAGGTACTAGCTAGAATATTTTCATATAAAAGCTAATTATGATCAAGCCCAACATAAAACGTTGTCTAAAATTAAATTTGAAATTAAATTTTAAAGAAGGAAAAAAGGAACAATTATTTGTATGAGCTATTCAATTGTATTGTGCTTAATATCATTTACATTTGCTGTTCTGAAACAATCAGTCTTTTGACAAGTACAATCAACAAAACCTCACTAAATAACACAAGAAAGTAACAAAGAGATAGCTAGAAGTAACTTATTGCTGAAGTAGCAAAAAAAAGGTAACACCACCAGAACAGACAAATAACTGTCACAAATTTCTTCCAAATGAATATAGTTTTCCATAAACAAGACAAAACATTTCCTAGCTAAAAGATATTCAACAACTTAAGATTAGTACTGTAAACATCTAGAAGATAGATAGCTATAGAAATGATTTTTAGTTTAGTATCAGGCATACAGCAAATCAAGTGTAAATCAAAGTTTGTGGCTTTTGTCCAGTACATGTGGTTTCAAAAGTTCACGTAATGAAAGTGATGTAAGTCATATATGTCTATACAAATAATCTATGGCTCAAATATCAATGAGTGAAACAGGAAAAGACGGAGGAATGAACCTTAGATTTGCAAGATAACTAATTCTGAATAAAAAGACAGAAAGATGATAATACAGCAAATATCACCAGGATGTAGGAAAATATGAATAGTACATCACCTCAGGCCTATTCTTTATGTTCTTTGCCCTGTGAGCATAATCCAAGGTACTGAGTGTTTCCTCAAGGCAGTGTACAGATGGTGAAACTGTCGCTATTATGCACGTCTTAGTCCTCCCACCCAATGAGTCACGAAGCAACCTTGTAAGTTTGCTGTCCCTGAACATCCAAAATGCAACTTAGTCAAACAAGCAAAACAAATAAAAGGAAAAGAATCCAAAGATTCAAAGATGTATAGGACTGGTTCCAAGTGCAAACCTGTAGGGAATATGTCCAAGATGTTCAACTAGTGCAGTAATAACACGGCCTAGAGTAAGTAAGCTTTTGTTAATCTCACCAGCTTCTCTTGCACGACCCTTTTCTCAAGGAAAGAAAAATAGTAAGAACAGTATAAGGAAAAGCTTACGATTGAATAATTCAATGGAAAAGAACACAAACAAATATAAGAAACTGCCAACTGATCGTTACACATCACATCATTCTTCCATAAGAAACAAAGAAGAAAACTATACATCTCTAGCTCCCGAACGAGAAATGTTCTCAGATCCAGCTAGGTCCACTAGATTCAGTTTGCCGCATTTGATTAGCTCTTCACCTTCTGGAGTGGCCTCTTTGATGTGAATGGTAATAGAAAATAGAGAATGTGACCGACTGAATATGAAAAATACAATGAAAAGTAAGAAGAGGGAAGAAAACCAAAACAGATAATGTTTTATAGAAAAAGAGAAACATCACCTAGATTGTTTATTTAGTAAGGTCTCTGCAGTGCGCCGTTTAGCAGAACCTCTTTCTAGGAGAGAGAAGATCTCATCTGCACTTGTTACTATTTCTTCCTCTAAACCCCTTACAAGCACACCACCTTTGCCATCTTCCATCAGAGGTAATGGCTTTTTCTGCTTATCCTCCAAAGTAATTTTCGATAGCTCTTCAGGAGCAAGCAAATCAGTGATTTCCTCATTATACAATTCCAAAAAAGTAACCTTCACACTGTACTCTGCATTTTGGCTCTCTAATGTATCAAATATTTGTTTGACAGCTCTAGGAATGACACCTGCATCCGCAGGTAACTGACCTTTTGGTCCACTCTGAAAGTATGAAACTCAGCAGTTTATCAAAGTAGAAATCTAAAAATGTTACGAGTTCCACAAATTTGGCTTCAAAAAGAAGATTTGATATCCTTTACAATTGAAGATGAAACTTACTTTAGCCTTTCTACATTCACCTTCCATAGTATATGTTTTCCCGGTGCCTGTTTGGCCATAGGCAAATATAGTGCAATTAAATCCCTCTAAGACCTCATTCACGATTGGAACTACAGCTTGGTCATACAGATCCCTTTGCTTTGCTGAGGGACCAAACACCTGAGAGAAAAAAATGGCCTACTCAAAACAAGACATGATGTAGTTGAAGAGTAACAAGCATCATAAAGCTACGAAGTACAACGTACAAATTAAGGCGAGCATTTTCAAGCTAACCATGAATTGCTTAAAATTACCTAAAATTTCATTTTTATCACTCAGCAATCCATTTGTTTTAGGCCAAAGAACACATAAGGGCATCCAACTATCAAATGAAGGAAAACATCCCAATTTTTGAATTTTTAAAATAATTTACCACCTCCAACTAAAAATTGAAAGCCTTAAGCCGCCAGAATCAGTTGAAAAGCAATGGATGACCTATGTATGATGATAAACCTTGAAACAGAAAACAACTGATGGCCATAATTACCTGAGAATCAATTCGTATGTGTAGTTAATGGGGCCAGTGAGCAAACGTTTGTCTTACAAGATGAACTTATGTCTATTGCTGATGCTAGGATGACTCCAACTGAGGGATCATTTTAGACACCCAATTTGTGCACCTTTGTTGTACATAACCAAAATAAGATGCAATGTTCAACTTATTTGAACGATGTCAAATATTATGACAAGAAATGACAAAAATCTTTAAGAAAATATAAACAAACGGGCAGATCAACCAAGATTACTTGTGTCACTTCACAAGTTGAAAGGTCCTCAGATATCAGATGAAAATTTGGAACCAAAGACTAAATAGCACCTTATCGAATGTGAAAACGCGATCGAACTGCTTCCCCGCTATGGTCTGCGTGACGGAGACCTCCCTCTGATAGTCGTTGCAGGTCACAACTTGCGGCGCGTTGTTCCGCAGCTCGTCCTCATTGAACGGCCTGCAGGCAGATCAGCACGACAAAAAGAACGAAAACCGCTAAACAACCAACGAAAGAACCCTAAAACCACCCACAAGTGAAATCACTCAAGCCATGCCACCGATGCAGGCGCACATTGGTCACAGAAGCGTAAACCCTAACCCACATTTAGCAGATCGGAGGGCAAAAAAGGGGGTGTGTCGGTGCCGTACCTGCAGCGGAGGAGGACCTGAACGTTGACGGCCTTCTCTTTGTCATGGCGAGATCCCATCTCTGGAAGACTACCGAGAGAGAGATCGAAGCGTCGTTAATGGCGACGCGAGATGGGGGAAAGGATGTGAGGGAGACGCTCGCTCGCTCGCTCTCTTTATCGGGGATTAGTATAAGATGGCTTTTGTTGATTTGGTTTGGGGGAAGGGCGGGATTCAAAATGGCGTTCAAAATTTCATCACACTCGATGGAACTACGAGAAGCATCAGCCGTAGGATCCAGCGATGGAGACAGATCTAATGGCCGAGATCGTGAGAGGAGCGCCCGTGTTTGGTCCGTGCGGTTCGAGCTTAACCCTATCGCGCCACGGCTTCGTGCGGTTTACGAGCTTGGGCAACTCTGGTTCCGTCTTGTTAATCATGACCGTCGGATCATACATGGACGGTGATCACAACTAGCGAATCCGCTCTCGACCCGGATCCGCTCGAACTCGATCCGAACCGATAAGATTTTTTTAATTCCATTTTTCGTCATAAAATATTATTATTAGTTGGAGTAGGGACGACATGCGATTGAGTTTTTGTCCGAGGGGCTCACACATTCATCGAATCATTTTGGATATTCAAGCATACCTCACACACTTAAATTAGATTAATTATTTTTGTTAATAATACATATGAGACAACTGTAGAAAGGAATTAGATACTTAAACGGAATATGTAACGAGTATAAATATTCGAGTAATTTATTTGATTTACATATGGGAACAGTGCATGTGGTCACACCTAATTTAAATTTTAACTTTTATTAAATGATAATTAAATTTGAAATATTGATTACTAATATGATATTATTTTCGATCGATTGAGAATCGACATCGACTATCTAAGATGACAAAGCTTTTGTTGGGCACCCAACACCAACAAATATTTCGTCATTAAATCGGTGCTCATAAGAATGAGACTATATAAAGGAGCATTCTCACTTACGAAAGGTAATGAACAAAAAAAAAGGAAAGCAAAGAAAGGTCATAAGCTTTAGACACCAAAGAGCATGTACAGACTCTACTATCAGAGGGGTTTTTGTCAGATGAATCGCCGATGAATCGCAATGTTCTAAACATTTAAAATCCACTAAATGTTCTCATCATTGAATCGAACTCCAAAGTACGAGGCAATATATCTAGTTAAATAAGAACATTTAACATTTATTTGCTCTTGTTAATCCAAGGGTATACACAATTGTAACAAAAGTTACGAATTCAAAATCTCATATAATAAATTTTGAAACTGTCACTAATTTGACTGATAAAGATGGATTTCATCAAAATATTCATGAGAGCGAAGGATGATAAGAGAAGCCAAAAATCTTGAGACTGAGAAGAGTGTGTAGAGAGAGAGAGAGAGAGAGAGAGAGAGAGCCCTTTTGATAAAGGTTCTGAAACACATACAGTTTCATTCCTAAACACTTGAAGGAAAACAAATTAACTAAATCGCTGACCAGGGCAAGCTCCGATTCATTCTTATAGGAGCTCTTCTTGATTTGGAGAGAGAGAGAGGATCGGAGGGCTCTGGTATCTCATAAAATAATCTAGTATGAAGGGGCAACAATTTGTATCCGTTATATCAAAAAAAGGGTTTGTGTTTAAATAGAGACCTGAGCTTTTCAACTAAATGGCAAATGGTAGTCGCTACAAAGTACAACAAAGTGTAGATATCTGGTAACATGACCATGAGATCCGTCTTAAAATCAGATTTGGCTGATCACCAATGGTGAACCCTTGATATCAATGGCCAAAAGCATCACTAGAATTTAGATACCAATTGGAGTTTGCGAGCTTGGAAGAACTTACAACGGCCTTTACCGCTGGATTCAATATCTTCGCTTTTCCTTTTGTATCCAGTGAAACCAAGATCAGACAACTTTTGCTGGTGTTTACTCCTTCCATTGTTGGGGCAATCTTCATCCATTTTGTCAGACTCCCTAAATCAAGCCAATTCACCAAGTAAAACACTGAGAAAGATCATTCATATTGCAACAACAAAATGAACAAATAACACTGTATATTGACAAACTGCCGCTTGAACATATAATTGAAAAGTTGTTTTTGAATCGATGAAAGAAATTTTCAATTTGATTTTAAGAAAAACTTACCAAACTACTTCAACAAAATCCTTGAAGTAAGGCTTGCATGTTCCCCAACTGAAGCGCACTATTGTTGGAAAACCAAACACCATATGCTTGTGGCGGTCTAACCACGCTTTTGTTTCAGGGTCTGCTCAACAATATTGGTAAAGTCAAAATGCTATTGTGAAAAGGGAAATTCACAAGGGTAACAATCCAGTTCCTTCACCAATTTGTACAGATACTTGAGTCGATATCACTCCATTCCTCAACAAATCAAAAAGCCCACTGATGACAGTCCTTGGGTAGTCATAAGACAGGTGGGACTGTCATTAATGGATGTTTGAGAAGTCAAATGTGAGTGATGGAGTGTATGATGGGGAGACGATGGTCTCATTCCCCATACAAATCAAAGAGGATACTAAACCAATTCTCAAACAAAGCCTGAAAGTTCTACCTCCTGGATAGCCGGATCCAAAGTTTCTTTGCATATTCTCAGCAGTTTCATCAAGGACCCAATTGCGCAATGCTCTATCTCTGGTGACCTGCATTAGCAATGATCAAAACAAGCCCCACTTTGATGGTTCATCCTTAATGTTTTTCAGATACAAGAAAAGAACAGCAAGATGTCAGCATATCCTTCCTTATGCAAAGTAAATTGTACAAAACTTATACGTAATGTTAACATCAATCGAGCTAAAACAAGAACCATGCTGAGGACAAATGAAAAATTGTGGATTGAGTTCTCACCAAAATTTCAATTGTCATTCATTTCTAAAGCATTAACCCAACCAAACAGGTTTCCAAATAAATATCTCATTCTTTTTAAACACACAAGAATAGGGAATCCAGCATAGTTCTGCTGTTGTGTTCTGTAGATGGTGCAGATCGGTCTGGTGAGACATGATGCAGGTCGATGACAGCATTGAGCTATTAAATATCAAACTATTTCTGGACCCAGGGCAGCAAAATCCAAAGCATTCTGTATATACCAAACTAAGATCCAAATAACTAGCTCAACAACTTCTCTTAGTTACTGAATGCAACATATCGCTATACCCGACTGAGAGGATCAGATATTAGTGAAGACCTATTAAAGGAATGTTTAGTAAGAAGGAGGTTCATCAGATTCTCATGCTTACCTTGGCAACTATACTAGCACCACTAACAACAGGATAAAGGCTATCAGCTTTCTTGGCCACCACAAATTTTACACCAGGAAATTTTTCAGACAATTTGACTCTATACTTCTCAGCATCTCCAACAGTGTCCACATATACCTTGATAAAAATAAAATTCTTTTAAGTTAATAGAATTGTCTCAGAAAAAAGGAGTCAATTTCATCATTTTCAGGGGATAGATTGGTGTATACTTCACCTCGGTTAATAGAACTCCCATATCAAGAACCCTTTTAACAAGGCCAATAGCTGAATTGTGGGATATCTCATTCAAATTGATTTTTGTCCTGCCAGAAGTGAATGATGTATTGTTACAGAATCCCATAGCTCATTTTCATATGCAGAGTAGTCATCCTACACTGACCTCTTTAACATTTTAGCTGAAAGCTCTCTTGGATCTATGACATCAACTTCCCATCCAATAGAATCATCAGCTTTTATATTCTCAAACAACTCTTCCCTCTTTTCCTCCTTAAGAGTCTTCGAATCTGTGAAAAAGTGAAACAATAAATGAACTGTCCGATGAAGTGACCTTTAATTGGCAAAGTTGACTCTGATTAAGAATATGTCATAAGCCAAATCAACTTGCAACTACACTATCAGTTACTCATGTTGACACATTATTTTCATTACACAAAATAAAACAATGTCACGTACACATCAAACTTCAGTAATTTGACAGGTAAAATCTCTTTGTTTGCAAAGCAAAGGACTCGTCAGCCATTCAATAAAGACTATATCTTCAAAAGGAAGAAAAAGAGAAGTGTTAAGTTCCTCCCCAGTGTAACTGTAATTCCAAATCGGTTCTGATTACAATGTTCAAAGGCTAATGCTACTATTTCGGTTATCTACCGAACCTCAACCGCAAAACCCAGATGGACTCTTTTTTTGCAACAAAGATTCAATCTTTCCCAACAAGAGACAAGTCAACATTAAATAAACAAGAACATTGAACAATCAGTAGAAGATGCTAAGGATTTGAACCTGCAAAGTTCAACGTGGCGAGGGTCTTCTGGTACGAGAGCGTGCAGTACAAGCATCCATACACCATGGGACCTGAAGCACAACAAGAGAGTCGAAGTAAGAATCAAGCAGGCGAAAGTAAACGGAAGGAAAAGAAATGCAGGAATGGTACCCAAAACAGGGCCTCTCCCGGCTTCGTCAATGCCCATGATGCAGGGCTTCGATGCCCATTTGGGCAATGGAGCAGAACTCATCCCGCCCCCCTCCACCAATCTCTCAATGGCCTGCCCTCCAACACGAAACCACGCTCCGCAGCAACAAGAAGAAGAACAAGAACCCTAATTGCTGCTCCCGCCTACAAAAGCCATGATCCAGTTAGTTCTCTTTCTCTATTTCCTTACCCACATAATTGGACAACATAATATGGTAAGGCTGTTTTTAGCAGAAAGTAGAGTGTTTGGGACATGTGAAACCACAGCTAAGGCAAGCATTTTCAAGCTAATCATCAATTGTTTGGAATTACCTAATATTTCATTTTTATCACTCAGCAAACCATTTGATCTAAGACCAAACAATGCATAAGGGGCCTAAGCTCTCAAGCCACAATCTCCAGCAAATAAAGGAAAATGCTTTCAATTTTTGAGTTTTCAATAGAATTTATCACCTCCAATTATCAGAATTAAAGACTTGTACTTCAAAGTTTGAACTAAAGAAGCAAAATTGTTTTCACATAAACTGAAAGCTTTCAGCTGCCAGAACCACTTGAAAAGCAATGGTTAGACTTTATGTCATGATAAGCCTTGAAACAGAAAACATTCAAAGGCCATAATTATCTCAGAATTACTTCATGTGTGCCAGTTAATGGATCCAGAGAGCAAATGTTTTGTCATACAAGATGAACTTATGTATATTGCCAATGTTAGGATGAC